ATTCAAAGGAATAAAACCCACTGGGAAAATTTTATAATGGACAAATCCTGGGTTATCTTTTAAAAATTTAGTGCATAAATGTTTCTTTTAATTTCAAAATATTAAGGGGGTACAAATGTTTTAGGTTACATGGATAATTTTTGTAATGCTTGGTCCTGGCTATAGGTGTGCCCATCACACAAATAGTGATCATAGTACCCATTAAGTTGGTTTATTCCCCTCCTCTCCTCCCTCCTCACCCCTGTTTGCTTTCCACTGAATTTTACTTCCTTCTGTGCACATGTGTGATTATCGGTAAGTTCCAATTTAATAGTGAGTACGTGTGGTGTTTGTTTTTCTATTCCTGTGATACTTCACTTAGGAGAATGGTCTCCAGTTTCATCCAGATTGTTGCAAAGGGTATTATTTCATCCTTTCTATGGGTGAGTAGTACTCCACAGTGTACATATTCCTCATTTTATTAATCCACTCATTTCTATTTGTGTGGAATGTATTTTTCCTTCCTTTCTTGTTGAGTCTATGTGTGTCCTTGTACTTTAGATGCATTTCCTGGAGACAGAAGATATTTGGGTTGCATTTTTCATCCATTCAGCCAGCCTATGTCTTTTGAGAGGAGCATTCAGTCTGTTCACATTGATAGCATTGATATGTGGGATATTGGTCTGTTAATCCTGTTGGGTAGTCCCTTACTGCTTTGTTTTACCTCTTGTTCTATTGTTTTTTAGGACTTGTGAGCTTTGGGGTGATATATATATATATATATATATATATATATATATTTACAGTGGTGGATATCTGTTTGCTGACTTGTGTATAGTGTTGTCCTGAGTATTTTATGCAAAGCAGGTCTGGTCATGGAAAATTCCCTCAGTGTTTGCTTGTCTGGAAAGGACTTAATTTCTCTGTCTGTTATGAAACTTAGTTTTGCAGGATACAAAATTTTAGGCTATCAGTTTAAGTTGATTGAAGAGGGGCCCAAATTTCTTCTGTCTTGTAAGACTTCTGCTGAGAAGTCTGCAGTTAGCCTGATGGGTTTTCCTTTGTAGGTTATTTGATGCTTTTGTCTTGCTGCTTGCAGAATTTTCTCCTTCATTTTGATTTTGGGCAGTTTGATTATTGTGTGTCTTGGAGACAACCTATTTTCTATGAATCTTCCTGGTGTTCAATGTCCATCTTGTATCTGTATGTGTCAATTTCTGGCAATGTCTGGGAAGTTTTTCTCAATAATTTCCCCAAATAGGTTTTTCCATGCTTTTAGCTCTTTCTTCTTCACCCTCAGGAATACCTATAATTCAAATGTTATTTCATTTCACATGGTCCCATATCTCTTTCAGTAATTGCTTGAACTTTTTAATACTCTTCTCTGTCTCTTTGAATGACTGGGTTATCTCGAGAGCCTTATCGTCACTCTGAGATTCTTCTCCTTAGTTTAGCCTGTTGTTAAAGCTTTCAACTGCATTTTGAGATTTCCTGAATGACTCTTTCATTTCTTCATGTTCTATTATATCCTTTCTTATGTTGTCTAGCTCTCTAGTGACTTTTTTTCCATTTTTTAATTTCAGCATATTATGGGGGTATAAATGTTAAGGTTATGTATATTGCCCATGCCTCCCTCCCCCTTCGAGTCAGAGCTTCAAGTGTGACCATCCCCTAGACATTGCATATCTCACTCATTATGTTTGTATGTATCCATCCCCTCCTCCCCCCTCCCACCCGCCCGACACCCGGTAAATGTTATTGCTATATGTCCACTTAGGTGTTGATCTGTTAATACCAATTTGCTGGTGAGTACATGTGGTGCTTGTTTTTCCATTCTTGAGATATTTTTATTTTTTTCATTGATTTCTTGAAATATTTTTTAGCTTCTTTTTGTTGGTTTTAAACTTTCTCTTTAATTCCAATCATCTTATATGCCATCCATAGTCTGAATTCCATTTCTGTCATTTTGGCAATTTCCTTGTGGTTGGAGTCCATGACTGTAGCTCCACTGTGTTCCCTTGGGGGTGTCAAAGTATTTTGTTTTTTCATGTTGCAGGGGTTCTTTTGCTGGTTTCTTCTTAACTGGCTCCTCTGCTCTCAGTTATGGGTTAATAGGAATGCAAGGGATGTGCTCTCCTTTGCTGGGGACTCTCTTGAACCAGGTCCAGGAGTGATGGCTACTCAGGGCTGGGGTTGCTGAGTGAAGTGTTGGAACTCAGGGAGGTTCTGCAGGGCTGAAGGTAGTGATGAAGACTCAGTAGTGGGGTCTAGGCACAACTCTGGAGTCTCAGGGGTGGAGTTGTAGGCCTCGTGTGGGCCCTGGAGCTACAGGGGCATAGCCTCAGGCTCAGCCACTGTGAGAGCTTCAGAGCTGACTGAGGATTTTGGGGACAGAGCTGCTCCCATGGGGAGCTTTTCCACCAGTGTTGGGACTGCTGATGCCCAGTTGCACAAGCAGGGGTTTCTCTGAGCAGCCCAGGTTCCACATAGGCTGGCTGGAGCTGGTCGTCAGCCAAGGTTCTACCCCCATACCTAGGACCCAGTAAGGCAGTCACCAAGCCTTCCCTCGTGGTGCCTGTGGAGTATGAGGCACCCCCTCTGTTCAGCTTCGATGCCGGGGAGGAAGCATGCTCAGTCCTCAGCCACAGAGCTCAACACAGGGGAATATCTGTTCCCTCCCTGGCCTGGTGGGGATGATGTTTAGGTTACTGCTGGATGGCTGGGTCCTGGGTGGACCTGGCTCTGTGCACCAGAGCAATTAGGATGTTGTCAGTTACAGAAGCCTGGTATTGACAGGTACCAGATCTCTGTTGCACCTGCTGTCTGATGGAATATCTTTGCACAGACTGAGCAACTCCCCAATAAGCCCAGAGGTCTGCAGTGGAAAAGGGAGACCCCTCACAGACTGAGCTTCCTGTAACTTTTGTTTCTCTCCCAATAAACAGTACTCTTGGGTTGTTTATATCTTGCTGTCTTCACTTCTTCCCAGCAGCATGAATTGTATTGGGTCCTCAGCTTAATTTCAGAGATGGTGGGTGGTACTTGTAAGGATCAGCCACGCCCTGTTTTATTGAGTTGGTAGATGCTGTGATAAACTATAGAGTTGTTCCCCCTATCGGCAGTTGATGCTTGCAGGAAAGAGCCAACTGCTGAGATGTTCTTTTGTGCCAGTGGTAAGCTCTAGTCCCTCAGGTGTAGCAGAACCCCAGGCTTTGGGAGGGGCCCTTTAGCTCCCAGGAGGTTGCTTGATCTCCACCACAGCAGAGGTGGATGGAGGAGTGAAGCAGAGTGTGGTTAGGTTGTGCAAGCCTGGAAGGCTTTGCAAAGCCTTGGCAGGGCTGAGAGGTTGTTTTCCCAGCCACTAAGGGGAGCCATTCAGAGGAAAGTCAAAGCAGGCTGTTTAGACAGGGAGGGCTGCTTGTGGGGGAAGGAGCCTGAATGTTTGGTTGCTATGGTGCCCAGGGCTGGGATCTTCCCTCCTAGAGTACCTGTCCTAATTCAACAGCCTGGGTTTTCCTGCAGGGAGGTGGGCGGGAATGGGAGCTCTCCCAGATCGCCATGTATCGGACCCCCACAGTATTCTCCCATCAGCTCTGTCCATGTGGGCTCCCTTGTTCCCCAAGTACAGCTCCCAAACCTCCTCCTCTGTCCCCAAGCAACCCACTCAAATCTGGTGGACGTGGGATCAGACCTACATGTCTAACCTGCTGGTGTGCATCTCCATGAAACGCTGGTGGGCAGGGAGCTCCTAGATCAGGCACACTGGGTCCCTTGCAGGTCCTCTAGGAGACAGGCATGGGCCCCAGTCTCTGTGGAAAATGAAGACTGCAGGACACATCAGCTGGAGATAGGTGACCACTCACCAAATTCTTAGCTTAAACTTCTCTCCTGATTGCAGTGGGGGGACAGGAGGAATCAGAGTCTGAATGGAAGAAAGCTGGTTCTCCGGCCTCTTGGGTCACATTCCTTGGAGGGGAACCCTGCATGGAAAGTCCAAGCTCTGGGATCATGCAAATTCTCCCCACTATTCCATTTTTGCCACAGGGCTTGGACTCGTGGGGGTGAAAAAGTTTCCAAGAACCTTGGTACCTTCAATGGGCTCTGAGCCTCTCTGTGTTTGATCTTCACCAATATCATTTTTGATTAATCTTCTTCCTTCTCTGCTTTGCAATTTTCCTCTGTGAGGTCCCTGGCAGGCTCTGGCACTTCTCTCTATGATCTACACCTGAGCTAAATCTCCTCTCCCCTCTCCTTTATCTGAAACCCTACCTTCCCTCTGGGACAGTCTGACAAGCAATGTCTCTAGCCAGCCATCTTGCCCCTCTCCCAATGTGGTGTGCAATCCACTCATAACATTAGTATGAAGCACAAAAGACAAATTTATCAAAAACAATGATAGCTACAGCAGCCTATTAAGAGATAGGCAATATAAAACTATGTAAACTGAGACAACATAAACTCAAGATGTAGGGTGATAGAGTTAAAGTGTATAAGGTTCTTTTTTTCATTTTGTGTGTTTTTATTATTTTCTTTGTGATCTAAGATAATTTGTTATTTCCCTAAATAAACAGTTATACCTATATGATGGTTTCTGTAAGCCTAATGGTAACCATAATGCAAAATCTTATGATACATTCACAGAAAAAACCCAACAAATTTAAAGCATACTACCAGAGAAAATCACTTAACCGCAAAAGAAGACAGTAAGAAAGGAAGTGAGGAGTTACAAAACAACTAGAAAACAACAAAACTAGAAAACAACAAAATGGCAGTAGTCCTTACTCATAAGTAATAACACTGTTTGAAAATAGACTCAATTCTCCAATTAAATATACATATATAATGAGTGAGATGTGCACCATCTGGGGGATGGTCATGATGGAGACTCAGACTTTTGGGGGGAGGGGAGAAATGGGCATTTATTGAAACCTTAAAATCTGTACCCCCATAATATGCCGAAATAAAAAAAAAAAAGCACAGAGTGGCTGAATTGATAAAGAAGCAAGACCCAGCTTTCCTTCCCTCCCTTCAGCCGCTGTCGCTTCAGGCGCCGCTGCTCCTGGAGGAGCTCCCGGCTCGATGATGGGGTCTCGGGCTTCTACGTTACTGCGGGACGAAGAGCTTGAGGAGATCAAGAAGGAGACAGGCTTTTCCCACAGTCAAATCACTCGCCTCTACAGCCGGTTCACCAGCCCGGACAAAGGAGAGAACGGGACTCTCAGCCGGGAAGATTTCCAGAGGATTCCAGAACTTGCCATCAACCCACTGGGGGACCGAATCATCAATGCCTTCTTTCCAGAGGGAGAGAACCAGGTAAACTTCCGTGGATTCATGAGAACTTTGGCTCATTTCCGACCCATTGAGGATAATGAAAAGAGCAAAAATGTGAATGGACCAGAACCACTCAACAGCCGAAGCAACAAACTGCACTTTGCTTTTCGACTATATGATTTGGATAAAGATGACAGGATATCCCGTGATGAGCTGTTACAGGTGTTACGCATGATGGTTGGAGTGAATATCTCAGATGAACAGCTGGGCAGCATCGCAGACAGGACCATTCAGGAGGCTGATCAGGATGGGGACAGTGCCATATCTTTCACAGAATTTGTTAAGGTTTTGGAGAAGGTGGACGTAGAGCAGAAAATGAGCATCCGATTTCTTCACTAAGGGATAGAAACCAAACTGTTCATTACTTTCTAGTATTTAAGAACTGGAACTTGAGAGTCCTCCCATCCACCAGCCCCACCTCCACCCCGTTATTCCCCTTCTCCCAGAGTACTACTGCTGTTGCATGACAGCCCCAAATATATTCTGTCAATACAAACCTGCCTTTGGTATGTAAACAGGGCATTACAGAATGGTACACCCAGTTTATTTCTGTTCATTATCCATTCATCAGTTCTCCATTTATAAATATCATCTTCCCTTGTTCTGCTAATATATGCTACACATCCATCCAGTCTAAGAAAGTGAGAGGGAATAATGCCAAGAACAAGCCAGCAAAGCTCTTTCACCGGATGTAGACTGTAGCCATGTTGCCTTCCCTCTAGTGAGGCTTTGGCATATTTTCCATCCTTTTTATATGTTTTTTGCTCCCTACTTCTCTGTCATCCCACAAACGATTCACTTAGTCTAATAGTATCTTTACTTTTTATTGAGTCTCAAAATCTCCTCTGTTCTACTTGGCACCCCAAGCTATGCCTGTTAAATATATTTCTGACTTGGCAGGATAGTTCGGTGGTCTGGCAGTTTTTATTCACCTTCACACTTCAGTGGGTCTCTGGAATTTTGCCTCTTTGGGAGCTTTTTGGTAACCAACATTTCTCTCTGAAGAATGAGACCATCTCTTTGTCCCTTGCACTATGTTTTGTCATCAAAGGGCTGCTAGGTGAAGATTTCCTTTTTGAAAGGTTGCCTTGGTGAGGTATAGAGCCACGTCTTGTCCAGGGCTCTCTACCTCTGGCTTCTGATTCTTAACTTACGTACCCATGTGGCTCTGTTAGTGCTGATTATTCAGAAAAGAGCCATATGCCTGCAAGTTTGCTTAGTTTTGGGACACTGTTACCACCAGAATGGCTGCTCTGACAATATGCTTGGGGACTTTCTCATGGCTTTTTAAACAAGGAGGTTTGGCACCCCCTAAAGCCTCCTGAATTCATGCCTGTGAAGCATGATTTATGCCTCAGTGTTATGTACACTGGAATGCTTTCCACCTCATGTTTCCATGTAGAAAGATTAGTGTTACGGAAGTGCCTAATTTATCCCAGTACAAAAGATTTAAAGATTGTCTTCAGTGTCTTGAAGTTTTATACAAAATTCTTTATGAATTTTATACTTGGCAAATGTTAATGATGGAAGCCATAGGTCAGCTCCTAATGCAGGTCCAAAGCATTGAAAGTATTGTATCATTAGCTGCCTGGTTGTGTAAGCTTCTTAGTTCTTCATGTAGACCACTGCTAATCCCTTAGGGGTCTGGCACTGGTGCCACAACCTAAGGCGGCATCACAGGTCTTTGTGCAAGCCATAGCAACTTCTCTGCCAAAGTCAGCTTAGTTTAAGCTTCAGTGAATAAGGCTGTTGACATCCTAATGTATGTCTGTATGAGTCAATTCATCCATATATCTGCCTTTGGCTGACTTGCTTGCTTGCTAGTTTCCTTGCTTTTGGAAGGCTAAGATGTGTACAAAATTATTTAGGAAGGGGATTGCTAAAAAATATCACTCATTGCAAAGGGATGGGGAAGGGTGGGGGGACAGGGGACTGGCCAGGCTGGATGGCTCAAGTGTAAACAAATAAGGAATTTTTTATGAAGTATCAGTCTGACTTTATGATTAAGTGATGTAATATAGGAATTGGATAAAAGGGAATAATTGTCTGATACTGATCTGTTAGAGAGGTACTTCAGAGGCTCCTTGATTTACATATTTAAAGTTCCTAAGATTATGGCTTTTCTCCCTTTTGGCTGTACAGCAAACTGTTTTAATCCACAGTTGTGCCTTATTGTTCCATAAAATTGTATCATTGATCCATCAATAAACACTTGTGGTTAAAACAAAACAAAACAAAACAAAACAAAAAAAGAAGCAAGACCCAAATATATGTTGCTTATAATAAACCCACTTCACCTATAAAGACACATATCAACTGAAAGAGAAAGGGTGAAAAAAGATGCTCCATGCAACTGGAAACCAAAAAAGGAGCAGGAGTAGCTATAATTATATCAGCTAAAATATACTACAAATCAAAGGCTGTAAAAAGAGACAAATAAGGCAAATAAGGTCATCATATAATGATAAATGGGCCAATTTAGCAAGAGAATGTAACAATTATAAACATTTGTGCACCCAATGCCAGTGCTTCCAAGTATATAAAGCAAACATTAATAGACCTAAAGGGAGAGATATACTATAATAAAATAATAGTAGCAACTTTAACACCCCACTCTCAGTATGGACATATATCCAGACAGAATATTAGAAAAGAAACAGTGGAGTTAAACTACATACTAGATCTAATATATTTAACTGACATTGACAGAACATTTCACCCAACTTCAGAATACATATTAATTTCATCAGCACATGGAACATTCTCTAGAATAGACCATATCCTAGAACCAAAAACAAATGTCAACAAATTTTAAAAAGTAGAAATCTTATCAAGTATCTTTTCTGAACAAAATGGAATAAAACTAGACATCAATGACAGGAGGAACCTTGGCAATGTCACAAACACATGACAATTAGACAACATGCTCCTTAAATACCAATGAGTCAATGAAGAAATTAAGAAGAAACTAAAAAATTCTTAAAATAACTGAAAATGGAAATACAACATATAAGAAAAAGCAATACTAAGAAGGAAGTTTATAGCAATAACTGCTTATATCAAAAGAGTAGAAAGACTTAAAATAATCAACCTAAATATACACCTCAAGGAACTAGAAAACAAGAAAAAAAATCTAAACCCCAAATTAGTAGAAGGAAAAAAATAATAAAGATCAAAGCAGAGGGGGCGGAGCAAGATGGCGGACGAATAACATCGCCAGACAGAGTGTCTCTGCACAAAAGACAGATTCTAGCAGAAATTAGAGGAAAAAAGCAAGAAGACGAGCATACAGCGGACAAGGGCCGGAAGGAGGGGTACCTGAGACCCCGGGACAATCCACGGGAGGAGGCTGCGGAGGAGAACTGGAGGCTGAGACCACCTGAGCAGCCCGGAGACCAGCGGCAAGGGTAGGTGGATTTGCTGTTTCCCTCCCCTGCATTCGGGACTGCTGGTGGGCTCCCCAGCGGGTGGAGAGACCTGCGGACACCAGCCCAGAGACCGCCACCGCCTGCCAACGGTGTAAGCCAGGTACACTTACGTTCAGGGGCAGCTGGTCGCCTGAAGTGCTGTACGAGACGATTCTCCTGCGTGTCATCTCTTCAGTCTCTCGTTTCCAAAGATGCAGCGCAGTCCGAGCCCGTGGCAGGCGGTCCCTATTCAGACCCTTCCATCTCGCATTCCGCGTGTGACGTCTAGTCCCGACGCGGCTACCGTAGTGTTCTGAGCCCAGAGAGACTCACTACAGCCACTCGACGTACAGGAGAGACGCACCTCCTCAGGTAAATGCGCGTTTCCGTTCTGGGGACCCCTACCACCTTGACTCACCCAGGGCGAACTCAGACTTCGCTGAGGCGTCCTAATCTCTGCGCGGTCAGTGGCGGCTCTCTCCAGAGGTGCTGTCCTCGGCGATCGCTGAACCTCTTCTCTTCTGTGTGTTCTAGAGGAGAACAGTGCGACTAGCGGACGCTGGAGAGACATAGACCCAGCTTGGCTCCCTGTGGGTGAATTGGGACCGAAATCCTCTCCTTGGTGGGGATACAGTTTGAACTCTGGGACCCAGAGGTCGGACCTGCAGACCAGATCCCTGCACCGAGGGCTAGCATTGCCCGGGGCACAGAAGGGTTATACGTGAACAGCCTACTGAGGTGTGTGTGCCTCCAGGGGCGGATCGGCGTCCTAGAGGGCAACCCTCCTCCCAGGAGGAGGCCGTGCACCCACCCAGGTGGTTCCTGTGCAGGGAACCTCCCTGCCGGCATCACAGTCCGGGGAGGCCTGGTGGCTTGTGGTCTGGCCTGCTGCAGGAGGCCCAGGGTAGCTGCAAAGTTGGGAGGTGGAAAGAAGCGAGGCCCGCTCCACACTGGGGGTCTCAGACAGCCCCACCCCACACATAGACTTTCTGGCTGAGCGGGACCATTTCAGCCCTGCCCTGACAGCTCTCCCTGGAAGCAGAGAACAGAACTTTGACCCTGCTAACGGCCTGAGGGCAGCTACCCACCCAGCTCCGCCCAGAACAAGAGCTGTTAACAGGACTCAAAATCACACCATAGCCTGTTCCTCCAAGCAAACGCCACCTACTGACAGGGACGGCATCTTGCACAGCTTCCACGGCACCCGCACTGACTCAATATACAGGGAGTGGTCCAATTTCACCCACAGACACCACCTAATGCCTCAGAAACTAAACAAGGTGTGTGAATACCCAAACAATAACCTAAGGAAAGAACAAACAACTGATCGACATGGAAGAATCAGCGAAAGAACTCAGGAAATATGAAGAACCAAACGGAAAACACACCCCCAAAGAGGAGCACCAGCCCCCTAGAAATGGATACCGACAAAATCAGGCAACCAATATGACAGAAGAGGAATTTCGTATGTGGATCATAAGAACACTCACTCAGCTGCAACAACAACTCAATAAGCAACACAAAGAAACCACAAAAGGTCTCCAGGATATGGGAAAAGAAATAGACACATTGAAGAAAAGTGTAACCGAACTCCTGGAAATGAAGAATCAATTCAAGGAACTACAAAATACAGTGGAAAGTCTCAAGAACAGGGTAGATGAAACAGAAGAAAGAATCTCAGAGCTTGAAGATAACACCCTCTAATTAAATAAATCAGTCACAGAAATAGAGCAGGGAAACAAGAGAAAAGAGCAAAGCCTACAAGAGCTGTGGGATTATGTGAAGAAACCTAATGTGAGGGTCATAGGGTTACAAGAAGGGGAAGAAGAAACACTCAAGGGTTGGACAAGCTGTTTGAGGAGTATATAGAGGAAATTTCCCAGGCCTTGCTTGCAATCTTGATATACAAGTTCAAGAAGCTCAGAGGACCCCTGGGAGATTCAACGCAAACAGGAAGACGTCACGACATGCAGTCATCAGACTGACCAAAGTATCAACTAAAGAGGCCCTTCTAAGAGCTGTAAGACAAGAGAAGCAAGTAACATACAAGGGAAAGCCAATT